TGCTCCCGTAAAGATTTACAGCCTCGGAAACCCTATTCAGGGTCGCTATGGGTCGAAACCGACTCGATGGCACTTAACAACAACATTTATTTGTAAATCCTGCAGCATCAGGTTGTAATTAATTTTTTGGAAGTTTCAGTTAAATGTAATATTGCTTCTCTTGTTACCATACTGATTTGTTTTTTCTATTTATAAATGTATTTTGATGGTCAGTAAAACAAAGTGTCTTAAAAGTTTTAAAGAGAGAAAATGTGCTTTACACAGTTGCCTATAAAAAGTGCTCTATGTTATCCAAGCAATTCATACTATAAGCTTCACTCTTATTGTTGTATGCAATTTTTACTATCATGCAAATAAGCTTAGGTAAATAAAACTAATAGATCACCTTAGAAAATTATGCAATTAATGTGAAAATAATTGATGTTTGCAATGTGTCTTCCTTTGGTTTACAATCAATTTTAAAGCTACATCTGTATAAAATTTCTGTATAAAGGTGTATTTCTTTTTTATGAGTTTATGGCTATGAAAACACCAGCTATTTTGTTACAGCTGGCTGTTTTTATAAGTGTATCACAATTTTCTTTATGCAGAAATGTTCTGATTAGGAGTGGTTATTGATTGTAACTACACAATTAAACTTGTTTGTATGGTAAAAAAAAAAATAAAAAAAAAATTCTACCATGTGATCTCCAGCATCATTTATATCACCTATGCCATTTTATCTAACTATTGATCCTTCCTTTTTGTTTTAAACTTTTGCATTTCAGTCACCAGTAATGCCAATTCATCTTGATTGCATTCTTGATCAATTTAGGATTGAAGAATTTGGTAGAATTCTTCAATATCTTTATCATTGGCTTTACAGTTTAATGCATGAATATGAATAATGGTTGTAATATCTGTTCATTTGTGTAGATTTATGGATTTTACCCTATCACAAACAGCTGTGTATTTGAAGATTGATATTGAAATGCTCTTTTTGACAATAAATGTGACATCACCCCTCTTCAATTTTTCTTTCTTGGCATAATAAACCTTATGATTTTCTGACTTAAAATTGCTGACACCAGCCCATTTCAACTCATTAATTTATTTGTTGTTGTTGAGTGCCATCAAGTCAGTTTCAATATATTGCAACCTGTACAGGGTTGCCTAGGAGCAGCTGGTGAGCTTAAACAGCTGACCTTGCAGGTCAAACCAACTTTGAAGTCCAGAACATTAACGAACAGTGCCACACCAGGATATTGCTTTTTATTTTTGATGATTCCCACTTTTCAAGCTTCATATTTTGTACACTCCATGTTCCAATTATTAATAGATGATTGCTAGTTTCTTCCTATTTTGACTTGTACTCCAACAGCAAAAAGGTCCTTAAAGTTTTGCTCTATGTTACTAAGGTAAACTCTACTTTGAGGAAGAAATCCTTCCCAGTATTTTGAGTGCCTTCCAATATAATGAACTTATTTATTGTACAATATTATACAGCTATTAATTAGGTTTCAGTCTCTAACCATTCATACATTTTCCCTATATCCTTCTTCCTATTCTGCTTTATTTTGGAAGCACCAAATGAAACTTGCCCACCATGGGTGATCCTACTGGTATTTAAAATTCCTTTGGCGTGGTTTTCTAGCATCTCAGAAATCCAGATGCCACACAGTAGGACAATCTGACACGTCAGTGGTGGTTTTTAGATCTACTCAACAAATATTGAGGGAATAACCTGAGAATTTTCCTAGACAGTATCACCAGTCACTCTTAGGAAATCCTATACAGGGCTGTCATGGATCAGAACAGATTTGACAGCACTTAACAAGAACAACAACATTCCTATGTATGAGTGAGTAAGTAAGAATCACAACTCTTGAGCTGTTATTTTCAGATTTTTCTCATAAATTCTTAGTCTCTCATTCAGGCTTTTCCTCTCCAGATTCTAAGCTATTCATGAGTTATTTCAAATAATTTTCAAATTTGCTTCTTTCCTAATAACTTTTTATGAGGGTGGTTCTTAGTATCCTGAGGGTCATCTTACATTATTGGTTACATAGCTTGGTGTGACACTGTAGAATAACCACTTGACTGCAAGGTTGGTTTGAATCACAAAAATTTTGATTCAAACTCATCAACCACTCCTTGAAAACACTATGCAGGGTCACTATGAGATGGAACCAATTTGATAGCTCTTAACAACAGCAGCATCATGGTGAGGATCCAATCCAAGTCATCCTAGGGAATGAAAATCACATTCATATCACTATTTCTTTTGCTTTTACTTTCTTTCCTTAAAAAAATATATTTCACAAAGTGTACCAATTTCCTTTAATTTTCTTTACTTGCTAGTCATTTGTTGGTTTTAAAACTCTGGTAATTAATTTTAAACTGTATATGATTTTCTTTTTTGCAACACCTTTTCTCTCATATCTTAAGAAAATCGATTTTTATCAGTTGCTGCACATATATGTTTTTTAATTTACTGAATTACAAATAAATTATATTCATAGTCATATATGATATTGAGAATCTTTGCATCTCAGTGACCTAAAAAACAGTCTAAGTCCTTTACTTTTATTAAATTTAACAGCAAAAAAATTTAATTTCATTGCATTATTGAAATAAATTGCATTATTTGATTTCATTGCATTATTGAAAAAGCATTATTACAAATCTAACTAATCTCAAGAGTATAGTCAAAGAATGCATATGAAGCAGAAGTTAGGAAGAATTTTCCTCTGTGGAAGCACAATTCACCAGTTCCCTAGGGTTTAACAGAAGTGTTACCAATATATATCCTTCCTAAGAAAAAACATGTTTATTAAAATGAAGAAGCAGAAGTGTTGATATGACTAAAAAATTAAAATCTGCATCTTCCTGAGAAATAACTGCAATTTTATTTCATTTAGAGGTAGGCACATGGAGTTTCCAACTCTTTCTAAGTTTTGCAAAAGAAATATTAATTTATTTTGAATGAAAGTAGAATACTACATAATCTCTCAGGTATAAGTGTATGTTTTAATTCATGTGATTCTTTTAAACTACTAGTGAACAATTAATTGAAAAAGTAGAGATATGTGTCAAGAATATTAGCATATATCACATCTGTCCCAATGATATGTTTATGTTCATAAAATGGATAGATTGTTTTTCATTCTACTATTTATTTTTTGTAGATTAGGTTTTTGAATTGTATCTTAAGTTCTGTGGATCAAACATCAACTGGGCACAAAAGACGGAAAACATAATGATACAAAAATAACCTTGGGATTGAACTAGAATAGAGATCATGCATAAATTATTTCTCTAGTGAGATTTTAAAGGGTAACTAAGAAATATTCAGGCAAATGAGAGTCATATTGACAACTGAGTAGCAGAAAATTTTAATAAAAAATTATCCTTAAAATATTAAAAGAAATGTTGAAAGGTCTAGTATACATTTTTGCTATGAGTAATTGCAGCATTGGGTATCTTAAGAATTTGCAAAAGAAAGGAGAAAGATGCAGTTAGTAATAGTGGAAGATGAAAGACAAGATTTCTAGGGAACAATATGTTCTGAAAACGCAAACTTTAAAAAGTATGTCTGTTTTGCATCAGTAACCAAGATCAAGCATCGGGAGTAATAATGTACTCATATAATTGTATATTGTTTTTGATAGTTAATACATTATCTTCATAAAGGATTTTCCTTCATCAAAAAAATGAAAACAATAAAAGAAACCTGACCATATTTAAAGGTTTGTTATAAAAAAATGATTAACACTCAATATTGTGCAAATGGAGTATTGATACGGTGTTGTATTATAAGCACTGGACTACTAATTACAAGGTTGACAATTCAAACCCTCCATCCACTCCATTTGAAACCGTATTCGAGGGTGGCTGTGAGGTAGAACTGGCTTGGTGACACTTAACAACACAAGCAAAAGTTTCATAAAAGCTATTATATATTAACAAAAATCATTGTAAGCCAATCAAAATTAATATTGTTTTAGTTATAAATCATATAATATGGCAACACAGTTATAAAGTATTCTGTAATAAATTGATTATATTTAAATAAAACATATTCAAAGTAAAATTTTTGATATTTCAAAAGTTATAACCCTTCAACTCCAGGTGTTCCACAGATGAAAATTAAATAGTATTGAAATTAGAAAGTCCAAATATAATTAATTTCAGTTATTTTGTTGTTGCTGTTAAGTGCTGTCAAGTCAATTCCAACCCATAGGGACCCTGTGTAGGGTTTCCGGGGAGCAACTGGTGAATTTAAATCACCAGTCTTAAAGTTCAAACAACTTTGCAGTCTGATGCATTAGCCCACAGTGCCACACCAGGACTCCAATTTCAGTAGTTAGAGAGTGATTATTATTTAAAATTTTGAAATGCTTCAAGACATGCATGAATAAATAAACTGATGTTATATTAGTTATTATTGAAAGGGAATTATTCAACCAAATCTACAGAAGCTCATAGGGATGGAATATTAATTCATTAAATATTGGAATGTATGTCTGACAGATAGAAGGATGCTTTGTAAAGCAATATTCTCCTGTAAGATCACCCCCTCCTTAGGTGCTATGTTCAGGTGAGGAGGTAAAGTAGAGTGGTAATAACGGAATTCAGGATACACACTGCCAATAGGAAAATGATACTGGTAAGATTCTGAGTCAAAACAAACATTTTATAGATGATGCATCAAAGAAAGAAAGAAAATGAACATGCATATGTATTCTAGAGTAATGGAAATGAAAGAGTGGTGATATCATAACCTAAGTGGTTCCATATAGTTCAAAACAATCTTTAGGAGAAATTCAGAGCCATAAAATAGCTTTTTCATAGAAATAATTTCCAGGGCAGCCTTCACCAGAAGGAGGAATTCATATGTCATCCCTATTCCATGGCACATGAAGAGAATCAATAATAGCTTGGAGTGGTCAAACCACACTTAATACTTATAACTTACAACAATCATACCTCTTATAGAGCATTATGACGTAATCATTTGATATTGAAGAAAGTGAGAAAATTAACACAAACTGTGTCTAGACTTAATATAAATTTATTTTACAGCAATAATGTACATGTCATTCAATACTCATGAAATTATTGGTTATTCATTTAACTTTAAATTCTTTAATGTCATAAATTATGTGATACTATTCATGTTGAGGAGTCCTAGTGTGGTGTTGTGGGTTAATGCTCTGTACTGCAAAGTGATTTGAACCACAAGGTCAGTGGCTCAGCTCACAAGCCGCTCTTTGGAAATCCTACACTGGGTCGCTATGGGTCAGAATCTACTCAACAGCACTTAACAACAACAATTCATGTTGAAAGGCCCTGGTGTGGCATTCAAGTTAAATATAAGCACATTTTGGGTACAAAATCCAATGAAAAAAAGATATACACTTTGTTTTCATCTATCCTGACTTCTTGGTTAGAGACTATAATTGTAAGGGTTTCCGAGGCTGTAAGTCTTTATGGAAGCCGAAAGCCTCATCTTTCTCCCTGGAAACAGCTGGTGGTTTCAAACTGATGAACTTAAGGTTCGCAGCCCGATTCATAACCATTACTCTACCAGAGATTATAATAGCTGCTATTTATTTGTATGTTTTGTGGATTTCTGAATTTTAGTCTCATTGTATCAGTTTATCTTATGATTCTAGAGAGATTTCAGCATATTTGCAAGGCTGGACAACCTCACTATCATCACAGAATTCCTCCTCATGGATATTTCAAACTCCCGGGAACTCCAAGTCCTACAAGGTCTGCTGTTCTTAGTGATTTATCTGGGAGCCCTGGCTGGAAATCTTCTGACTATTATAGTCATTGTAACAGACCCACATCTTCACTTTCCTATGTACTTCTTTATATGCAATTTATCTTTCATAGATCTTTGCTATATTTCAGTTAGTGTTCCCAAATCAATTGTCAATTCCTTTACAGGTAGAAAATCAATCTCAGTCAATGACTGTGCTGCTCAGATTTTCCTGTATATATTCTTTGCAGCTGTAGAAATTGCTTTTCTTGTGGTGATGTCTTATGACCGCTATATTGCCATCTGTCATCCCCTGCACTATGGGCTCACTCTCACCCCACAAGTGTGTGCACAGGCAGCAGGTGGCTCATGGGCCACTGGACTACTCTATTCTGCCATCCATACAGTCACTATGTTCAGGCTTCCCTTCACCAAGTCCAATGTGATCCATCAATATTTCTGTGATTTACCACAAATTTTGAAAGTATCATCTTTAGATGTTCAGTTTTCTGAATCTGTGCTTCTAGTTATAAGTGCTGGTATTGACTTAGCATGTTTTGCTTTCATGTTTATGTCGTATATTAAAATATTTTCAAGTGTACTTCAGATGCACTCTGCAGAAGCCCGTAGCAAAGCCTTATCTACTTGTACCCCACAGTTGGCTATTCTTCTTTTGTTTCTAATTTCTGGATTAATTGCTGCCCTAGGTCCTACTTCAGATAAAACATCTGTTAAAAATCTTCTGACAGCTATGTGCTATACCATGATTCCACCATTTATAAACCCCCTCATCTATAGTCTGAAGAACAGGGAAATTAACAGTGCTCTAGGGAGAATGTACAAAAGATATTTTGAGTTCCAAAGCAGGGTTTTACTTAATTAAACTGTGTAAAAACAGGACAATTTGAAAGAAATTTACTTTTTGTTTTCTGTTTATCTTATGGAAGAGATACATACAGCAAATGTGTATATTTCCCCATAAGATATTTCTGCTTCAGTAAAGATATACAACCTCAAAACTGACTAGATAGCACATAATAGTCAACCAGTATAACTTACTATATTTAAATAATTCCCTGTACAATATTTAATATTTAGTTGTGTGCTTTAATTTTTTTTGGTCATATATGTAATATTAGTTGTCTCTTAGTTGTTTGTTTCTTTTCTTTTTCTTTTTTTTTTCTATTAAAAGCAAATGAACAAACCAATTGTTATCAAGGCTGAATCCAACTCACTGATACTCTCTGAGTTTCAGAGTAGAACTGTGCTCCTTTACTGCAAGAATAGATCTATGGAAATTTCTTCCTAATCACTTATGGATGGACAAGAACATATAAAACTTTGGTTGAAAAATTGTTCTACCAAGTATTCCTAATTTTTCTTACTCATTTCTATATTTGTAAAATTCATGTTCACTTACTGAAAAAAAAATTGGAAGTCTGATCCACATTATACAAATGTGTTTGAAAATGCTTGGGATGATTTTCTAAGCAAAGAATGACAACATACAGAGAGACCATGCCGTATGCATCCATACCTTAACAGATGCCTATCCACTTGAAATAATTTCAGGGTAGTGGACAGTGCCATTCTGGAAGACAATATTGAGTTATTTGCATTAGAGAAGACTACTGTCTAATTTTCTTTGCCCTACTCACCAATTGCTCCTTGGAAACC